TGAACATTTATAACTCTTATAAAATGTGACGTAAGAATCCGAGTGTCTTCAAATTACACACATAACAATATTTTTATTAACCCATAATCTGGCGTGAAGATGGAGTATATCGGTCCACTCCTTCTGGTACCTCCCACACAAAGGTAAAAATTTCCAAAAAAATATATGTTACTGCATAGAAAGAGAAATGATAATCCGATTTTGCTACAACTTTGCAAGTCCTAATATTGACATCAGTGCTAGGTCAGGTGCGACAATGAACAATATTGGTGTACTCCATCAAGTACCTCCTCCACAAAGGGTCAAAATGTGACGTGAGAGATCGCGGTCTTCGAATTACACACAACACAATCATTTTATTAACCCATGGGTTGGTGTGAAGATGGAATATATCGGTCCACTCCATCTGGTACCTCCCCCACAAAGGGTCAAAATCTTGGAATATGCATGAAGCTCATACAACGCGAAATTAACACCTGATTCCATTCATACTTGGCACATCTTAATATATCCATCAACACAAGATCTGTAATAAAGATCGTAGATATCGGACCATTCCTTCTGGTACCTCCCCCACAAAGGGTCAAAGTTTTGAATCACCAAAAGGACTATAAAATCCGAAATAAGCATTCGGTTCTCTTCATATCTCACACATCCCTATATTTTTACTAATAAAAGATCTGCTGTGAAGATGGAATATATCGTTCTACTAGTACAGGTACCTCCCCCTCAAGGGGTAAAAATTTGGAATATCTATGAAGCTCATAGAACGCGAAATTAACATGCGATTTCATTCAGACTTGGTGCATCTCAATATTTCCATCAACAAAAGGCTAGTTGTAAAGATGGTAGCGATCGGACCATTCCTTCTGGTACCTCCCCCACGAAGGATCAAAGTTTTGAATAACCAATACGATTTTAAAATCTGAAATAAGCATCCGTTTCTTTTCATATTTCATGCATCTCATTGTTTCTACTAACACAAGATCTGCTGTGAAGATGGGATATATTGGTCCACTCCTACTGGTACCTCCCCCACAAAGGGTCAAAATTTTGACATTTTAACATCCGATTCCATTCAAACTTGAATATAAATATTTCTATAAACATAAAATATGTTAAAAAGATTGTAGATATCGGACCATTTCTTTTGATGCCTCCCCCGCATTGGGTTCAAGATTTTGAAAAACAAAACGTTCAAAGAGAGCGAAATAAGCATTCAACTCTCTTCAAATTTCACACACACAAACATTTTTGCTAACACAAGATCTTCTGTTACCCCAAACATAGGGGTTTCAATATTTTTATCTGTCATAACTTGCGATAAACGACTTTTAAATAATCGAACATATTTTATTTCTCATAGCTTCTAACGAGGTTCCACTGTCTTCATATTGCGAATAAATACTTTGCATGCTTTGCTCATTATCTCGCTCTCTCTCTTTAAGTATTCGCTTGAATTGCTATTTTTTCATTTCATTTCTTTTCATTTGTTTTTTGTAGTCAATCCTCTCGCATATGGAACATCCCATATGTTCGTTTGTGTGCGTTTCACACACAAAAATAAACAGGCGAACGATTTTTGCTAGACGACAAAGTTCAATAAACGAATAAAACAACAAACTTTTCCTATAGACTCAAGTGGTAGCCATCACTTTTTTCTGAGAGAATCTTACGAAGAAAGTGGCGAATATATGGATGTAGGTGTGGGTGGTTGGGTTTGTTTGTTTGTTAAAAACTTTTGTTGGAACACTGACATATGGATAACAGATCCGTTTAGATTTAGGCTAATTAATGTTTTATTATGACATATATATTGTGTGTTGATTAGCACGTGGCGTGTGGAACATAGACGGCTTCAGATGACAGCATAACGGTATTTTGGATGACACCTGAGCATGAATTTGGCAGAGTGTGTCGTGGGAATGAGATTTCGCTTTTTTTTGAGAAAAATTGCTAAAGTAGTTATATAAAAGAGATTTTTTATAAAGGTATAAACCCTTATTACTGCCTTGCTTAGAATATATGCATTAGCATTGGTGAGAGACTCTTTTGCCCTGCCAAGAGAGAATACGTGTGCTTTGTTATATTTTTCAGTCGAGACTGCCTGTGCGCAGAAGATCTCTAGAAGGGTTTTCATCTAAAGAAGACCAAAACAGCTCTTCTAATTACTGAAGGCCTTCAGAAGGTTTTTTTTTTTCAAAAATTTTCCACTAAATCGAAGAGTAAGTTCAATTAGGATCAATATCTCTAAACTCACTCACTTTCTTACGCTCAGGACAGTTGTGTGTGTCAAACAGGCCCCTGTTTGAGATAATGACATGTAATGTCCTTAACATTTAAAATTATAGCCTTTAAAAGGATGCAACGGGGTTCTAGGGATTCTCACAGCAAAATGCAGTTAGAACCCCTAACTTTTGAGAGAAGCTCCAATTAGAAACTGGGTCCAGGAGCCTTAACTCCAAAATAAAGCGAGAAAAAACCTGGGAATGGCTACAGTAAACATTTTTATCTTCGAGATAACGTCCACTCTGGAAACTCTTCCCCGAGATGAATCTGAAACAGTAACCTTTTATCTGAGTCATTATGTAGGATATTATCTCTGAAATAAGATTAGAATAATTTCCTCATAATAAGGTCCTTATCCAGCTATAACCCTTACAGGCGTTTTCTTTGACATAATGCTCTGTTAGGTGTCTTATCTCTGATATCGCGGAGTGTATCTGAAAAATATTAACATGTTATAACGCTGAGATGATGGCTAGATAGGTTTTCGAATCAGGACTCTCAAATAATGTCCAGGACAAGGAACTTGACTCCAAAAAACTTTCTAGGAGAAGTTCCGGTCAGAATCCTTATCACTTATTACTATGTGAAAAGGACTATGAATATGAGAAATCTTACATAACGACCTTTACGATCATTATTACGTATTAGGTCTAGTCAGGACCGAGGAGGCACCGTTAACTAACATCTGTTTAGAGTAATTATTTCTGCGAGAATTTTTGGTAGGATTTGTTGTCAGAAATACAATAAAATTGTTTATGCACCTTTCTAACTCAAAATAAGTCCTGCCAGAATCCTTAGCTCTGAGATAACTTCCAATAAGTACCCAACATTTCTGAAGTAAGATCTAATCAGAACCCATATTAATAAAATAGGGCCTTGTCAAAACCCTTATTTATAGGACAATGTTCAGTCAGGTTTAAGATAAATTTCAGATAGGACGTCAGAACCTTATACTCAAAAAAAATCCAAGATCCTTAACTGGGTTTCTTTCCTACACTTATGTATCACAGACAATTTTTATAAAAGCTCCCTCTCAGAACCACTTTTATTGTGAGGCAAGGTACAGGTGGGCCATTTGCTTTTCGTAACCTCCACCATTCTATGGAGGGTTTATTAACTTTGTCGTACCGTTTGTAACTCCTCTTTACTCAAATTTGTATTATACCTGGAGGACTTTTAGTACATAAAATGGGTGATGTAGGTCCACGTTTTGGTATAGCCCCTATATACGGTACCTCCCGATATTCGGTATATTTATGATTATAGCGACATTATTCACCGGAAATGTCTCAAATATTCTTTGGTATTTGAAGTTCTTAATGGCTACTACAGCCTACGACAGAAAATTGTCTGTGAAGAATCATGTCTTCGTATAGCCTCAATATAACGGTACCTCCCAATATTCCATATTTGGATAATTTTAGCGTCATTATTCACCAGAGTAGTTTCAAATTACGTATTTAGAGTTCGTAATGAAAACTACAGTCTTTGACAGAAAATTGTGTACGCAGGTCCAGGTCTTCGTATAAGCCCCATATACCATTAGATCCCTATATTCGGTATTTTAATGATTTTAGCGACATTATTCACCGGAAATGTTTCAAATTTGGTATTTGAAGTTCGTAACGGATGCTTCAGCCTACGACTGAAAATTATCTGCGCAAGTCCACGTCTTCGTATAGCCCCCATATAACGGTACCCCCCGATTTTCGATATTTTGATGATTTTAGCGAAATTATTCACCGGAATTGTTTTAAATTTTGTATTTGAATTTCGTAACGGATGGTACATCCTATGACAGAAAATTGTCTGTGCAAGTCCACGTCTTCATGTAGCCCCCATATAACGGTACCTCCCGATGTTTGGTATTTTGATGATTTTAGGTACAATACTCCCTGAGATTGTTTGAGATGTCGTATTTTAAGTTCGTAATGGGCCTATTACAAAAATTTTCGTAGGCAGGTCCACGCCTTCATATAGCCTCCATATATCAGCTTTCATTTAAGTGGTAGAGTCCGGGGAGTTTTTGGAAAATTTTCAAGTTCCTTCCAAATGGTGTAGGGTTTTTAATGTTCCGCCCAACCGAACTTAGCTGCTTTTTTACTTGTTATATAATGATCATTTTCATTGAGGCGATGGCCTGTAAGGTACTAATTTTAGAGAATATGCCCAGTCAGTGCCTCTCTTTGAAATCAAGGGCGGTTAGCGGGAGTTTGTTTGTAAAAGTCATATGTCATGACAATTTTTCTGCAGGCTTACGAGCATTCTTTCTTAAATAAGTCCGGACAAAATCTTTAATAGAGTGCTATTATCCGTGAGAGAATGTTATCTAGGATATTTTTTTCCAGAAACACAATAAGACCGCTTTTGCCCCCATTGTCACTAAATAACCCGACCCATCTTTGAAAGAAGTTCAAATTAGGATTATTGCCTTTAAGATTCTAAACGTCCAAAATCACTGTATATGATATAAGGTTCAGCCATGATATTTTTCCAAAAATAAACCTCAATCAGGTTTTGCAACTCTGCCAAGAATACAATATATTTTACTGTTTCGAAATTACATTTTCAATTTACAGCATTTTCGAGACAAAGGTCGTTGTGAGCATTTACAAAAAATATATGGCTCAAGTGTTGAACGATAATTGTAATATATATTTATAATAATATTATAATGATGATAAACCTTGTGGTTTTGAAATATCACTTACACCATAAAATTTGAGCGGCCTGTAGAAAATATTCAGTCAATTTTATTTTATTATCCGTAATTGGTAGTTTTAAATATTTTCTCTTACGTCATATAATCGTAGGTTAATCTTGAAATATGAAATTGGCATTGGTACGATAGTTTATGGCGAGTATTTTTTTTAATCTAATTTGGTTATAATAAAAAAATTTCTATTTTTATTTAAATATTTTTATTTCCGAATCTGGTTTATAGAAAAAAAAATTCACTTTCATTGGAGGTACTTTGCGATCATTGACCCTTAATCCAATACGCATAGATATGATATTTAAATTCTCGCTTTTTTCAATTCAAAATATTATCTATTTTTTTTTGTTGCACTCCTCCTATTTTTGTCGTAACGTTTCAATTGTGAGTTTAACACGTTTGCGCCCGATCGTTCATGTGTCGAATTTTAAGAAAACAATTGAAGTCCGTCCACCCAAAACCGAAAGAGATAAATTTTTATGATCTGATTAAAATATTTTTTTTCGTTCAACAATTTGTTTTGTTGTTGTTTTCCTTTGGCTGTTAAGGCTTTGGTCCGATTAAGTTACTTTTTTTTGAGTGCTGGAATTGAAATGTTTGCTGATAACAATCATTGCCTGGTTATAATTCACATTTTTAATAATCGTTAAATAGGAAAAAAAAAACACAGAGCACTACAAAAACAACGCCATCAGCAGGAACGTACAATTCACGGCATAATTGTGGCAGTTTGAAATATTTGAAAAAACAAAACCAACAACAAGAAATTCAGAAACAAGTGGCTGGCTACCAGCTACTGTTGTGATGGCGGCCACACACCACTCGGATAGTTTATTTATTTTTTCCCCGATACCGATAATACACAAATCGTTCTTCGTCCGTCCTCGTTTGATTTTGATGGCATCGAAAGCAAATACAGCGGAACGTCTTAACTCGTCGATTACTTAAAACAAACTAAACCGCCCATCTGATGGATACGAAATTTCAATTCAATTCTCCGTCGTATTTTCCTTTTAGAAAAACAATTTTATTCCTTATCACCGATGGTATAAGAGAGCCAAAGATCACAAAGAGTAAACACCTATCTCTCTCTCTCTCTCTCTTGAGGTGATGAGAGTGGAACTCTTTTCCCGAGTTTTCCACACTTTCATGATCATTAAGTAAGTCCATTGATTAATAATTTTTGACTAATTTGTATTACTTTTTTTGTTTTGTTTGATTTTACAGTTTATTTTTGTTGTGGGTTCGCTCTATCTGCGTGTGTGAGAGAATGTTTGAATATTTATATTATGGCCGACTATTTGCCAGTAATACAAACAACAACTACCACAAGTTGGTTGGACTAGAATTCAAATTCGATAGAGTTGCCATGTTGTGAGAAAATTTTTTAATTAACTAAACTATTATCTTGGCCATATGGGCCGGTCAAACGCATTATCTCAAAGATTAGGAAGCGTTTTGGAAGAAGATTTTTCATTGTGATAAGACTATTACGAAAGCAATGGTCGGTTGGGAACATTATATTGGAGATAATGTATAGTCAGTTCAATTATCTCAAACAAAAAGGGATCGTCGGCACCATTGTCTTGCAGATCAGGACCATAATTTTTGAGATAATGGCCGATTTAGACCATAATCTCGTAGATAATGGAAGGTCGGAAAAAAATTGTCAGGATCATTATTTCGGAGATAATGGCCTGTCACGATCATTATCTCGAAGATAATGGCCAGTCAGGATCATTATCTCGGAGATAATGGCCGGTTCGGATCATTATCTCAGAGATAATGGCCGGTCAGAACCATTATCTCAGAGATAATGGCCAGTCAGGACCATTATCTTGGATATAATGGCCTGTCAGGATCATTGTCTTGGACATAATGGCCGGTTAGGACCATTATCTCGGAGATAATGACAGGTCAGGATCATTAGCTTGAAGATAATGGCTGGCAGGACCATTATCTCGGAGATAATGGCCGGTCAGGACTATTATCTCGGAGATAATGGCCGGTCAGGACTATTATCTCGGAGATAATGGCCGGTCAGGACTATTATCTCGGAGATAATGGCCGGTCAGGACTATTATTCCGGAGATAATGGCCGGTCAGGACTATTATTCCGAAGATAATTGCCGGTCAGGACTATTATTCCGAAGATAATGCCCGGTCAAGATCATTATCTCAGAGATAATGGCCGGGCAGGACCATTATCTCGGAGATAATGGCAGGTCAAGACAATTATCTCGGTATAATGGCTGGTCAGGATCATTATCTCGGAGATAAGGGCCGGTCAGGACCATTATCTCAGAGATAATGACCGGTCGGGACCATTATTCCGGAAATAATGACCGGTCAGAATCATTATTCCGGAGATAATGACCGGAATTATGGCTGGTCAGGACCGTTATCTGGGATATAATGACCGTTCAGGACCATTATCTCAGAGATTATGATCGTTCAGGACTATTATCTCAGAGATAATGACAGGTCAGGACCATTATCTCAAAGATAATGACCGGTCAGCACCATTATCTCAGAGATAATGACCGGTCAGGGCCATTATCTGGGCCAGTCAGGACCTTTATCTTGGATGATGGATTGTCAGTATAGTTATCTTATGGATAATGGATAGTCAGGGTAGTTATCTTGTAGGTAATGGCCGGTCAGGTCCACTATCTCAGAGATAATGACCAGTCAGCACCATTTTCTCGGAGATAATGGCCGGTTAAGATTATTATCTTGGGTAGGATCATAATATGTGGTCGGTCAGGATCATCATCTCGTAGATAATGAAAGGTCACGACCAGTATCTTCAGAAATCGTTTCGGTTTACATAGATTTGGATAGTGAAGAAAATGTGTATACAAATTTCTGACTGGCAACGCTCTAACATGCCTTGAATTTAATTCAATCAATATTCCAAGTGCCTGAAAGTATGCAATAATTTATAGATGTGAAAACTCTCCACTATACTGTGAAATTCTCCAAAAAAGAACATAAATTTGATATAAAATAAATTATAATAAATTTTGAATATTTATAACAAGATCTGTTATAGAAATGGTAGAGGTCGGACATAGAGTTTGAGATTTTTAAAAGCAAAACACTCAAAGAAAGCGAAATAAACATCCCACTCTCTTCAAATTTCACACATACAAACATTTTTGCTAACACACGATCTCTTGTGAAGATGATATATATCTGCGAACCCCTTCTGGTACCTTACCCACAAAGGATCACAATTTTCAATAATTTTATCTGTCATAACTTCTTTACAAATTGGATAAAAATGTTCGATTTTCTTGTAATTTTGCCTATACCTTTATTTTTATTTGTATTAGATGAAGCATTAAAATAGAATACTTCGGTCGACTATATCTGGTACCTCATGCACATTTTAATATTTTTTTTTTTTTTAAATTATCACATACCTCATGTAAAGTGAAGAACCTGGCACGTGACAATATTTATATCATATTTAGATACGAAATAGACCCATTGGCCCATTTTTTCGGAACCTACTTCGTAGAGGGTCAACAGAAGTCAAAATATATATTTAAATAATCAAACATTGGCTGAGGGTAAATATTTGTCGGCGAAATCGACTGATACTATTTAACTTGTTATATCTTCGACTATGAGTCTGGAAGTGGTGAAAACATTTTTAAAAATACACGAAGCCCCGGCATTTAATAAGATTATGATTATTGTGGCTTATAAAAATGTTCTTAAGAAATCCTCGATTATGATGGCAATTCAATGATGTAACATTTAAAATTTTTTAAAACTTCTGGCTTATTTTATAATTATTTGTATAAAGCCATTCCTAACAAATTCCCGATTACATCTCTGATTGGCTAAAAAAAAACTTTAAAACAATTATATCTCTGGTATGTACTTAAAAGTTAAAGATTATAGCCCTGCTACATCATAAAAAATATTTAAAAAGCTCCACGATATCCAACCTGGAGGGCTATTGCAAATTGCTATAAAAATCTTCGATAACCGCTTTGATAGTCCGTAAAATATATTTTAAGAAACCCTCTACTATAGCTCTATTGGGCCATAAAATACTCCTGAAGAATTAAGATAGTTAATCAAGCAGTTCATAAAAAAAAATCTTAAAAAAACGCAGATTAAAAAGTAGACCTTGAAATAAATATTTCTTAAAATATTTTTAAAAAGTCCATCATTATTGATCTGGTGTTTAAAAACATTACATTTTAAAATTTATTCTGCAATATTAAAAATCAAAAATAATTATCTCGTTCTTAAGTATTTTCTTTTTTTGTCTTTATTACCATTTTATTTGCGTATAACAATATGGATACTAAAATACATTAATTAAACTAATTTATTTTTTGTATTACAAATCTCTTTTCTTAAATTTTTAACAATTCTAGATAAATATTCGAATTAGTTTTAATAAAAAAAAATAAATTAAAAACCAAACAATTTCGGCAAGAAAATTTTGCAATAAATAAAACATTTGAGATTTAAAAAAAGGGGGGTAACTAACGACTAAACTACAAACTAATTTTTGGTATACCAAACTTAAATAAAAAAATTGAAAATAAAACTAAAAACTATTTGTAAATATACCCTACAGCCTGTTAGGTAAATATTTTCTGGTTGATGTGGCAACCGTATAACACTGGAATTGGAATGTCTTTTGCTAACATGAGTTGTGAGATGAGAATGGTTTGCAAAAAAGGAGTGATTTTATGAAATGATTTCAAAAAATGAAAATAATGAGGTTATGTTACTTTTTGTCATAAATTATTTACAATTCTGTCTAAAATGTTACTAAATAAACAAATGAATGCCTCTCTCTTTCTCTCCTTAGCGTTTATTCAATTTATGCCACAGAGTGAGGGCCGTCAGCACATGCATGGTACCAATGACACCAGCCATCAACAGAACACAATGTGTCATACTGACATCGGAAATCATCATGAAGTCAAGGAAAATCTTTGGACTACGAAAATGACAGTACATAATTTCATCGGGGCAGGGCAGCATTGAACGATCCATGCCATAGATGGCATTGAGAGCCCCATGAAATCCGGCACGAAAATAGCTAATGTGCCACATCCATCGGAAGATTGGGGTTATGTCAATGTAACGTGTACAGAAACCGAAGACGGAGAACAGCACCGCCAATATGGGACCCAGGAAGACAGCAATCTGGAGGTAAAAGAAAAATATAATTAAATAAAATTCTTTAAATTTTTTATTATTTTTTTCACAGGTCTATAAAACTTACTTTTGTTGGCAGAGTGGCTCCCACAAAGAAGCCCCACGACTGGGCACTCAACGTCACCATAACTCCAAAGAGAATGAAATACATCACACGGAAGTTATCGCTTTTATCGTTGTTCGTCAGGACCACACTGATTCCCATGTAAATGACGGAACAGATACACTGTAAGTATAAGAGAAAACATTAATATGAAAAATTTGGGTAAATATTTTGCATTTTCTCTCAGCCAGCTAGAGAGGGTATACAGGGTGAGATAAAAAAACTGCAACAAAGTTAAACGCCAGATTTTTACATTTTTTTTAATTTTGTTGAATGAAATCAAATAATGCTGGATACAGCATCAAATTTTAGAATAAGTTTAGATTTGTTCGAATTGGTCACCTTTGGCACGAATTATGGCCTTCAAACGGCCAATGAAACCGTCACACGCTGCCCGAATGTTGCTCTGCGGTATTTTGGCCCATTCCCGGCGAAACGCTTGCTTGAAGTTATCGACACTTTGGTATATTTTAGTGCCAACCTTGCTTTCCAAAAGACACTCCAGACACAATAGTTCAACGGATTGGTATCCGGAGATTTTGGTGGCGATTGTGCGCTGGAAATAAGCGAGGAACCTCTATTTGTAACCATTTTTGGGTGGCGCGGGCTGAGTCCTGTTGGAATTTTCAAGGTCTGCGGCCAAATTTTTCAAAATGTATATGAATCTTTAAATTTGTATACCTTAGGCCATATGCCGAGAGAGGGTATATATCATTTGATATGATTCAAACGTGTCTCATCGAAACACCGGTTTTGGCCCTAGGTCTCCACCGGTTTTGGCCCCTAGGACCAAATCCGTTTCAGGACATTTGGAGTCGAACTAGGGATGTTCGTCTGTCCGTCCGTCCGTCTATCTGTCTGTATGGCTGGCTGGTATGCACGATATATCTCGAAGAGAGTATCCGATTTGATCCATACTTGCTACATCGTAATATTATTGTCAAACTTAGATCGAATTCGAAGATGGGCAATATCGGTCCACTCTTTCTGGTACCTCCCACACAAAGTGTCAAAATTGTCAAAGAGAATCATTTACTGCACAGAAAGAGAAAGGATAATCCGATTTTGCTCTAACTTTGCGAATCCTAATATTTGCATTAGTGCTGGGGCAGGTGCGAAAATGGACAATGTTGGTCCACTTCTTCAAGTACCTCCCCCACAAAGGGTCAAAGTTGTGAATACTAATAACTCTTATAAAATGTGATGTAAATGTCCGATTGTCTTCAAATTACCTACATCACAATATTTTTATTAACCCAAGGTCTGGCGTGAAGATGGAATATATCGGTCTACTCCTTCTGGTACCTCCCCCTTAGAGGGTAAAAAATTTTAAATATCCATGTTGCTCATAAAACGCGAAATTAACATCCGATTCCATTCAGACTTGGCACATCTCAATATTTTCATCAACACAAGATCTGTTTTAGAGATGGTAAAGATCGGACCATTCCTTCTGATACCTCCCCCACAAAGGGTATTTTGAATAACCAAAACGATCATAAAATCCAAAATAAGTATCCTGTTCTATTCAAATTAAACACATCACAATATTTTTATTAACCCAAGGTCTGGTGTAAAATTGAGACATATCGGTCTACTTCTTCTGATACCTACCCCATAAAGGGTCAAAATCTTGAATATTCATGAAGCTCTTTAAACACGAAATTAACATTCCATTCTATTCAGACTTGGTACATCTCAATATTTTCATTAACACAAGATTTGTTCTTAAGATGGTAGAGATCGGACCATTTCTTCTGGTGCCACTCCCACATAGGCTTCAAATTTTTTTGAAAAACTAAACGCTCAAAGAAAGCAATATAAGCATCCCACTCTCTTTAAATTTCACACATCCAAATATTTTTGCCAACACAAGATCTCTTCTGAAGATGATGTATATCTGTCAATCCCTTTTGGTACCTCACCCACAATGAATAGTTAATTTATCGGAATTCGATCCACTGTATCTGGCACCTCACATTTTCCAAAAATTTGCACATATCACGTATAAGAAGTAGTCGATATAGTCCAAATCTGACACGTTGTAATATTTTCTTTAGTCTTAGGTCAGATACGAATTGGTCAATATTGGCTAACTGCTTCGGAACCGCCCCCATAAAGTGTCAACAGTTTAAATAATCATAACTCAAGGCTGGGTGTAATACGTCTGTCGGGAAAACCGTCTGATACTATTTTACTTGTTTCAACTCACCTGAAAAGGAATTTCAAATGACAGCAGCGAGAGGAAGTATGGCCCCAGATTATACCAGCGATTGAAATGTTCTCTCGACAGCATACCAATTTCCAAAGGGACTGTAAAATAAACAATTCATATGAATAGGAACTCGATTTTATTTTGAAATCATTTGGAATTCGATTTATACTTACACGTCAGAACAACAGCCATTTTCCCTGTGTAGACCAAAAGCAGTGTTGTGCCATACAAATATACATAGTTTCCCAATACGGTGTTGGCCTTATCGCCAACATCTTTGTATAAATAACCAAATATAACACCGATCACCAGATGCGATAATATGCGAGCCAGAAGCAAAAACTGAAATAAAAAAATTAATAGGATTTTATGAATTTATGAAAAATTCAGAAAAAAAATTAAAGAGGATATTTTACCCTCAGATGTTCAGATTAGGTCATATATATTTATCATCTATATTATCTCTATACCTACGTAAAAGAGCTTATGAATAGTTAAAACCTAATGTTAGTCATTTGTAAAGTAAATGTTCCCACAGTTGTAGTTTTCATTTTTTGAAAGCATACTTTAAGGCGCAACCAATTCATAAGCATTTTTCACATTCAAGTTTGTGTGGAGCACAGATTCAGAACAGATTTCAAAGTAAAAAAAATTGAAATTAGTAAAAATATAATTTCAAGTAGCAAATCTCAAATCAATAGAAACCTATGTGGAGACCAAACATTCCAGGTTTCTATTGATTTGAGTTTTTCTACTTGAAATTATATTTTTACTAATTACAATTTTTTTATTTTATCTGTTAATTTTAGTTTTCAACGTCAGGACTCAGATCAACAGACCAAAAAAGTTTCCATGAACATATAATCGTGTCCAATAGACGAAAATTTTCCCGACCGGCTTTTCTCACTATTTTCCCTTTCCCCCTTTGTCATAAATAACTGATTCTAACCGCAATCATTTTTACATGCCCATTAATGTAAAATGTGGGAGAGAACCGGTTGACGTGCTTGACTAATTGATATTCATCACCTGTCTCTGGGGGCTAAAGTGGGTAAATGGGTTAGTAAGCTTGTAAGCGCTCTGTGTGTTTTATTAGCATATATTGTTCGTGAGGTGAGTCAAAATAACAGGTCTAGACCGAAATTACAACAATGAAGATGTTAACAATATAAATCAGAATATTCATACATATGAATATTGAGAATGAAATTTTATGAACTGTTATATAGGGAATGAGCAAAAAAGGGAAATCAATTGGTAAATTGAGTTTTATGAGGGCAAATGAAAGTTTGTTTTTATAACCTACACCACAAGGTGTTCAGAGTGTCTTTGTGCATTTGTTTGTAACATGCAAATTGAATCGAGATAGACCCATAGTTCCTTTTGATGATTTGCATAGAATCACATTCTGAGTCGATTTATGCAAGTCCGTCCGTCTGTCTCTCCATGTATTCTTGTAAACAAATGACAACTCGCATTTATTGCCCGAGCCAGATGAAATTTTGCACAATTCATTTGTTTGACCCAAGGATGAACCCTATTGAAATTGGAGATAATCGGTCAAAATTCAGATATAGATCCCATATATATCTGAATAATATACTTATAAATCGTGACCTTTTCCAAAAAATTCCGGCTTTATATAATTCGTGAATATTTGAAATATATTTTTTTTTTCAAATTTGTTCCAGGACTTCCTCCCAAAAACATGGAGTTTTTAAAAAAAATTGCAAACGAATGCTTTTCAAAGATAAAATCATAGATTTTGTTCAATGACTCCTTGGTCAAAAATTAGGGATTGTTTTTAATATTTCTCAAGGACTTCTTTGGTTATTAAGAAAAAAAATGTTAAAGGATCATCTGACCAAAAATCTTGGATTAAAAAAATGTTCAACGTCCCCCTTGGTCACCAAATACCAAGGATGCCAAATTTTTAAAAGACCAAGAATCTTGAATTTTTATGAAAAAATTCGGTTTTTTTTTTTAAACTTTTCCTCTTGATCAAAAATCTTGGAATTTCTCAAGGATTTTGTGTGTCATGAAGAGGACATACTGACCTAAAAAATTGTTAAAGAACGATTCATTTGGTCAAAAATCTAGGATTTTTATTAGAAAAAGGTTCAAGGTGTCCCTGATCACTTAGAGACATAAAACAGGACAAATTTTTAAAGGACTTTATATGATATAATTTTAAAGGACATGCAGAACAAGAATCATGTGTTTGAAGGATATTATTTTCAAAAATCCTGGATTTTTAAGAATTTTTTCAAGGTCCTTCTGACAAAAAAGTCGTGATTTATTTTTTTTCAAAATTGTTCCGTATGAATAAATAATAATTATGTTAAAAATATTTTTACGATATCTTCTTTATTTTAATGACCTCCCGAACAAAAATAGTGTAAACTAAAAAAAATCCATATCCTCCAGGACCTCCTGTTTAAAATCGTGAATTTCAAGAGACGACCACCTAAAAATTCTTGGATTTTAAGGAAAGTAAAATGTTGATGGACTTCTTGACCTAAAATTCGTGGATTTTAAGAAAATGTTTTCAATTTCTTAAAAAATCGTGAATTTTTAAGAACATTTTTTTGAAATACTTGTTTAGCAAAAATCCGGAATTTTGTTAAATTTTTTTTTTAATGACGTTGTGATCAGAAATATTGAAATTTTAAGAGAATTACTTCAAGGAACTTTTGACCAAAAATTGTGGATCATACCTCATACCGAAAATCATGAATTTTAAGGACCTCCTGAAAAAAATTGCGAATGCCTTAGAAAACCATTTTAATGAGTCAACTTTTTAGGTTAACCTTTTTGAGGAGAGAATCTTATGTTTATAATTTTATTTGTTTTTCTCTTTTCTGATCAAATAATTAAGGGTTTTTAGAAAGTTGTATTTAAAAAATTTGTATTTTTCAAAATATTTGTTAGGTTTTAAGGGCATGCTTTTTTCAAAATCTTGCATATTATAAGAACCTCATAAATCAAAAATTTTGGATATTGAAGAAATTATTCTCATGATACTCTGACTTTAAATTTTAAATCCTTAAAAATAATTTTCGAAGGACCTCTTGACCAAAAGTTATGATTTTTTATTATTATTATTATTTTTTTTTTTTTTTTGGATGAAAATAAAGGATTTTTTTTATTAACGACATTTTGTCAATGACATTCTGATCAATAGTGTTTTTCAAGGACAACCATTTCAAGAACCTTTCCATCAAAAATTTGGACTTAAAAAAACTCTTACAAGAGCCTTCTGCCAAAAAACAACGTTGTTAGGAAAAACTGAAGGATCTGAATTATGTGCCTATCATGGATCGAAATTTTTGATTTTTAAGATTTTTCAGGTACATCCCTACCAAAAGTCATGGATTTCCATGAGTAGTTGACCTTTACTTTACTTCATTTCGAAAAAAGTCAAATATTTAGAGATCATGAATTTGTACAATTCTGGACACAACTAGAGGATCTTGCTTGAGCATTTTTTTCAAGGACCTCATAACCAAAGAGTCGTTGATTTAAAAAGAATAAGTCAGATACATTTTTTCAAGGAGCTCCTGATCAAAGAGAGAAAATCCTTTCAAAAAGGCAAAAATTATTGACTTTAAGAATTTTTTTTAAGAAATTCCATCCCAAAAAGTTTTCTTCAAAGACAAATTTAACTTTCTGGGCCGCTTAAAATTTGGGTTTCGGAATGATTTAAAATTGAAATTTGTGTTATATTTTATTTTTGGTTTTATTTATGATATAATAAAACCATCTTGAGTCTTATGCAATTTTATAACATTATTCTTACAAATGTCTCATTGAATTTTTACCCTCATACCTGCACCACACCAAGGTTCCATTAACCCTACCACCATAACTATCTACCCACATGCAGTGACAAGTTTAAATGTTTCAACACCAATGTGCCTCCTCCTCTTCCCCCTCTATAATGATCTTGCAAATATTTTCAAACTTGGCTTTCTACCTCAGTTTTTTAAATTAAATTTTATTATTTGATGATATTGACGCTTAGTTGGTTTGTTGCTTGGCTGGTTGGTAGGTTGCATGACATGCATGGTTGCAAAGTTGGCCGCTTGTGATTACTGGTGGCTGGTGTGGTAGTATCACTTTAAGTTTTAATGCCAGGCTACATTGCATCACCGTTGCTTGGTTGTTTTGGATGGAATGAATGTTTGCAGCACCACTTCAGTCAGTCACGCTTTTGGCCATAAAGTGTGTGAAGGTCAATTCTAATATCAATACTAAGTGCATAATCACGCCAAAAAAGAATCGTTCAACAACAACAACAAAAGCAACATCAAATCGAATCTACCAAAATCAAGCAAATAATGTTCGGGGGTCTTTGTTGTTGTGTTTATCTTTCAATTAAAGCACTTAGCTGCTGCTGTTGTATGCACATTCTGTTCTTAGAGGTTTGTCAAATAAATTTAGAAGTTATTTTTATCCAATAAAAAAGCGATTTGATGTTCTAATGAAATGTTGATTTTAAGAAAAATGTAGTGGTTACAAGGGGAGCTGGATTTCGGGTTGCAATAAAAAAGTTGAAAAATAGGTGGCTGGAAGTCAGTCAATAATAAATATATATTGTGATTTTAAAACGTTTTAAATGATAGAGCTGGTCAACAACATAGGCAAAAATTTTACAGATCAAAAGTGGTTGATAAAAAAATTGATGTTTTCATTTTCGACAAATATGGCGCCCAACGTGATGCACCCGATTTTGGAAAAATCGAAAAACTCAATGAAATGTCAGGTTGGGACCTTTTGTGAGATATCGTGATGAGTTGGCTGTGTAGGTTTTATGCGGAAAATAAAAATGACAACTTCTAACAAAAAATGGCGCCCAATGTGACACCTACGATATTTTCTTCCACATAACTTTTTTTTAAACCCACTACTTTCTGAAACAACTTCAGACTGCTGTCATTCCTAGGCCACTCGTCCGACAGCTGTTAAAATTATTTCAGTGACAGCTCATTATTTTTGGATCTTTTGAATTGCAATTTCAAGAAGGACCATCTTGGATCATTAAAAAAAATATTTTCTTTAAGAACCAGAGTGAATTTATTTTCAAAGGATTTTCATTAAATTTTCTTTAAGAATGAAGGTGGATTATTTACAGGGTGAGATGAAAAAACTGCACCCAAGTTCAGACAGCTGTCATTTCTAAGCCACTCGTCCTACAGCTGTTAAAATTATTCCTGCGACAGCTCATTAAATTGTTTACAAGCCTACAAAAGCATTTTGATGAGAATTTTCCAGAAAAAAGTTATTCGTGATGGAATTCCAGCGTGATAGTGTGATTTCTTTATATTTGGCTGGAAAGCCAC